TACATGTCCCGTAGGATGGCTGAAGTGAAAGTAAACATAAGTGTAAGTCGTCGACTTAAGCGTCTAGCAATTCAGGTGCCCCTTATTCATATACACCTTATAGAACAAGTACTGAATTGTTGCTGTACAGTAATATGGGAAGTAATATGGGGAAAGTATGTCTTAAGAAGAAAAGAAACGACAAGGCTTACTCGTGTGCCGCTTTCTTGAACTGAGGTAATTGATGATTGTAGTTGTAATATATCCGAAACTATATTCCACCACAGCAGTGCGTAAGTAGTGAAGCACAAAAGCTGAGAATGAGCACCGTTTGTTCGCGTTTGTTTGACGTAGACATCTCTGTTTATATAATGTAATTTAAGTGGATAAGCGAATCATCCAGACGTCTTTTGAATACCGTTAGCGGGGGGAAGAAACAATGTATGTGGGAAGAGCCTTCCAGTGTTGGCACACACAAAGGGAAAAAGACTTCCGGCGGCATTCCAACCCGCTGTATTGTGTGGCCAGCTTTAGCTGGTGTCCTCTGAGTGTTGTATTGCGACTCATCTTTAGCAGGTGACGACAAGAATGGTTTGAATTCCTCAGAATCATATAAGTCATTATCAAGTCGCCACGCAGGCGTCTATATTGTCCACTATAGATCCCGACGGTTTACGGCCTCAATCGGTAAGGGAGATGAAACAGGCCCTTTACGTTCTTGGTCGCCTTTCGTTGTGACATTTCAAGAGCGGTAAGGTCTTGCTTTTGTCATGGTGACATGGATGAATGTCGTAATCAGAATGATGTCGAAGGTAAGCGTTGAGCTTCTGAGGAAAGATGGACGGATCGAAGCGCCCGAATGCCCTCTGCAAAAGGCCAAGATGTTGGTTAGCTTTTTGGGAGGCTTTCTCGGCCTGTCGGGAACAGCCCAGATATCCCTGCACTATCACACCTAGATTGCATTCCGCTGAAGTGCTCTGCAATATCTGATTTCTCAATCTGTATTCGCGTGGCTTTATTGCGTGTTCTCAACCCCTTGCACTTTGTAGTGTTGAACTGAAGCAGGTTCTGAGTCGACCAGTCGTAGACCCTGACAAGATCATCTTGATGTGCTGCATTGTTGCTGGTTGTTCTAATGGTTCGCCATATCTTGAGATCCTCAGCGAAGAGTAAGGAGTTGGAGGTGGTTACTGTCGCGAGATCGTTTATGTAAATCAAGAATAGTCGTCGACCAAGTATTGAGCCCTGAGGCACTCCGCACTTAACGTCGATAGGGTCAGAGGTGACGCCGCGAACTCTTACATTCAGATGTCTTTGAAGTAAGAAGTTACCTATCCAACCGAGGATTGGGTCACCAATTCCACAAAACTGCAGCTTGTGAAGGTGGGTACGGTGATTCAGACGGTCGAAAGCCTTTGAGAAGTCCAGATATACAGCGTCAACACCTACGCCGCTGTCAACGGTCTCAGTCCAACGGCATCGAGCGAGTAGCAAGTTTGAAGTGCAAGATCGGTTCTTACGAATTGCATGTTGTTCTTGTGCTATGATATTGCGTTCTTCCAAGAAGCTTATCAGAGCTTCGGCAACAATCACTCCCATGATTTTGGAGAGCATTGCAAGTAGTGTTATCGAGCGATAGTTGTCCGGTTCTGTACGACTTCCCCCCGTATGGACGGGAGTGACCATGCCCTGCTTCCACATTGTTGGCACTCGTATCTCATCGAGGCATCGTTGGAACAACATGCAGAGTGGGTCCGCCAGGTTCACTGCAGCCAATTTCAACGCTTTTGGACGAATATTTTCAACGCCGGGAGAGGTATGCTCGCGCAGGGCAATTAGAATTTTCATAGTATCCGCAGTCGTAAACGTGATGTGGCTAAGCCCTGGTGGTAGTACAACGATCGGGAACGGTGTACTCGACGATGTCGTGCTCTGGAAGTTCGGGACGAATTTTGACATAGGGCGTTGGCCACATCGGTTGCGTTTTGTGCAAGTCCACACAATGTGTGTAAAGCAGGAATTCCTCGCTGCATTTTGCGGAGCTTGTTAACGTCTCTGTAGAGGAGCTTGGGGTTTGAAAGGAATTCCTCTGCTAGATTCTATTGGTGCTGTGTTTTACCTTCGCGTATCAGGTTTACGCAGTGATTTCTTTGGATCGTGTAGGCTTGCTATATTTCGGCACTCGACTCCTTCTATCTTCGCCAGAGTAAATTTCTCGTAACGATACACTTGCGTGTCCTGCTGCGTATGAATGATTTTATTGTCTTCGCTCGCAAAGTTCTTTTCCTAGAAGCACTACTTACTAACGTGTTGAATTGGTGAGCAAATTCAGACCAGGCGATATCGGGGGATCGTTCTGCTAGAAATGCCCAGTTTGTTGCATTTATCAGTTTGATTAGAGCGCCGCAAGCCGTAATCAGCTGACACTCCTCGGTGTTTTCTGAGGAATACTCTGCATAACAGATGTAATTGCACATGCGCGTTGCATGGTCGCTACGACCTAAAGGACTCTTTATCGATACCGTTTCCAGCATAAGCTCTTCATTGGTGAATACAAGATCCAGCACACCAGGTTTGTTTCCCGTCCTGAATCCTGTGGGGATGTGATGTGATTTTAGAGTGGTAGACCACTAATTATCTCCTGTACTTCCATTTTGAAGTGTTCATTGATACAGGCTGGGGTTTCTATGATATGAATATTGAAGTCGCCAACCAGGAGAATATGGCTGTACGAGTGTGAGAGAATGGTCTTCATTGTGGAGGCTAGACGGTTGTCCATTCCCAAAGTAGTAGAACGTCGTCAGCTTTACCTGCCTTTCACACTGCCTCCTTTTTCCACCAAGATATTTGGTCCGAAAAGCAGAAATATTTCATGCCAGCTGCATTTTGTTAATCAACACTGCTTAAGCTATTGTCCACGGCATTCGTGCCGAGATGTTCCGTCTCAGAGACATCGGTAAAACTCAGCTCCATATCTAAGGACTTGTTAACACGTTGTCCGTCGTCGCGACCAACAATGCAGCTGCCATTGTTGTTGATTTGAGTGAGTGTTCATGATAGATTTTCCCTGGCTTAAGTGCAGTTAGTGGGGACTCAGGAGGTACATGTTCAACCTGCGTCAAAATTCGTTCCCCGTGCGTATAACCACCTTCAGCGTACGTAAAAGGCGGACCTAATGCCAAAGCCGTTGTCACGTTGAGGCCGGTTTACACGTGCACCTCTATGGTCTGACCAGGAAGAGTGCGTTTTGCGGGCCGCAGTGTGCAGCTGTGCGTTCGTACTACATTCGCAAGATGGTGTGGAAGACGGAGATTAGTGGCTTCGTCTAGTATCGTCCGCGGTCAGAGCTTAAGAATACAAGGCAGACTTGTCGAAGGGCTTAGTGGGGTTCGCTATGGAAAAAAATGTAGAGGACTCAGCAGACGGTTTACATAATGATGATCGGGAGCAAGTGATAGCATGCTCGAACGCTGCGGGAATGCTCTAGTGAACAGGACTAAAAATGCCTCAAAAGATAGAAATTATATGACGTTGTGTACGTAGGTATCGGCGAAACACTGCCCGAAATTAGCAGTACCGGGTAAATATATGATGTACGGATAGTGTTCTGGAGTGATTGGCATCAAAAGTTGTTGCTTGCCAATTCAAGAGGAATAAGTATGGATCCAGTGGTATGCGACAGAATATGTCATATTCACCGCTACCATCCTACGGGACGTGTCAAGCACTTGCTTTTATCCCGTGATAAATCATTGTTCATTGTTCATTGCCAGAGTAACTCCGAATGCACCAGGCGTGCAGACGCGTGCGACCAGCAAGGCACGGCAGAAGATTTCGAAGGTAAGGCAAAACCTAGGATTCATCAATAATTCATAAGACTTACGTAAAGCCAAATTGATGCCATATATGATGTGTTTGTCCACTTTTACCGTATTGCCCAATCAGATACAGTGACATGCGCAAGAGTGATGTATCATCAATGGAGTGTTTGTAGCCAAAGCAACAGTGCGCGAAAATTGACTGTGGAATGTCAACGCCCTTTCACCTCGGTCAAATATCTGCATCTCCGTTACTTCACTAATAGGCAGAACTGAATGCTCTTGGCAATGAATGCTCAGATAAGTTCATTCTTTACAGCAGTCTATCGAAATGTATGCATGGAAAACATTGCGCCATACATAAGCAAGCGCTACCGTTGTAGGCAGGTGGCTAGGTAAGGGGGCTTTGTGGCTTTCACTGGCTGTGAAAGATGCACTGAGCATCGGTAAATGACAGCTGTCGCTTACTGATGAATAGCTTCATTGCTTTTGTTCGTCGCAATCAGCCGACAATTCAGATATGTCGACCAGCTATCCGAAAAAGCACCAGGAGGCCGTTTCGCCCTTCATTGTTTGCTTAGATGAACTGTGCAGTTTTGGCACGTATGTAATCAGGTTCACTTTATTGCGAATTATACCGAGTCTGACTTAACACTACAGCCCTCTAGGGTATAAACTTGGATGCGCTGCAACAGTTACACCAATTTTAGACATCGTGAGCTCGGAGTATAACTTAAATTTTCTGTTCTTCTCTTGAGTGGTGCTATGTCTTATTGTCACTTAGACAGGGGAACCAAAAGTAGAAATCTCTTCTACTATTATTAAATACAAAGGTTTAAAATACTGGTAAAATCCTAGCAAGCGAAGTAACTGAACGGTATTAACTAGGACAGTCGAATACAGTGCAGAGTAGAGGTGGGGGTTCGTGCAGACTAACGAATAAACCTTTCAAGGAAATTCTAAACTTCAAGCACTATCATCGCAGTTAACAAACTGCAATACATTTTGGGATATCCAGCGCACACTGTTTGGTCCCAAGCTACAAGATTTAATTTCTAACAGAAAGCCCCTTGCAAAACGCCATTATTAAGTCAATAAGTGTCCCGAGTGCACACAGTTCAAAGCAGTCTTTTATTCATTCGAAATTACGGGACAGAGACGCAACATTCTGCAAAGGTTCCGCAATCCATTGGAGGGTGTTCCTCAGGTTAAATCAACTTTCGAAAGCAAATAGCCTATTTGCAACTGAAGCCGAGCGGTAGAGAAAATTGTTGGACGTTGGCTTATCTGCAAAGTATACATATACAGTACAGTACAGTGTTGAACCAAAAGCCAAAGCTTTCCTGCAGGTCTGTGATGAAGTTGTTGAGGACAATTTCAATGCGGGAAAAGCTAATAACAGATTTAATCCTTTGTCAACATCTACCGCGTTGTTCGCCTATAGCTTGGTCAGCTACTAGTAGCCGTAAAGACAAACGTGGACAAGTGAATATAAAGCTAAATATAAGCCGTCAGCACTGCAACAAGGAAGTCTCATGATTGTGATCGTGAGCGTCAAGTACGGATTCGGATCTATTAGACATGAAGGACCGACCCGGTGGACTGTCACTCGGAGTACTACCATTTCTATCCGGTAAGCAGCGAACAAGCGCCAACGCAAGCACAGTTAAGTCCTTCATGTTTACCGTGGACGGTCCAATTGCATGAAGTATGATTAAACACACACATGATGAACAGATAATCGTCGAACGAGTGTAAAACCAAGCTCTGTAGGTACCATTTGACAGCTTCAATGGTCATGATTACCGGTGTTTCATTGCATCGTCGTCAAAGCAAGGCACACATGTGATTTAAGTATGAGGAGCATGAGTAAATCAGATGTTGCTCAACGCTGTCTACTGCTTTGCATGCTATTCGACTGCGTCAAAATGCCCTTGTTAGAAAAGCATAATCCATTTCAATCTTGGTTGATTCTAATCCTAGGAACAGACAGTGGAGCGGTACATATGTCCGTAACTAGTATCACAGACTGGACGCAAAACTGCTACCGGTAACTAGTAAAAACTTGCCTGCAGTGTGAAGGTCATTTGTGACAGTGTCTCATTTGCTAGTACACAGATTTTATCATTCATCATCATTACATATGTTAGCTGCAGGTGGAAAACACGGTTATTGTGCCGCAATGCAAAGACAATAAAAAACAGAGGCACGCCGCCTGAGTCACAAGTACCGGATGGACATCGTTCCGGAGAGCTACCAACCGGCTATCGTGCCGCAAAAAGTGAGTTATATTATGTCTAACGGATGAGATCATGATTAGAGCGAGAGGCTAAACTGAAGGGGATGGACAAAGGAACTCATAATATAAGCGCCATTTGGGCCGGATGCTAGCCATATCATCAAGTGTGTCCAACCAAACGTGTTTATCTTCCTTAGGACCCCAGCGAGGCAGTCGGGATGCACCAACCGACGCCAGCTTCGAAGGGAGGGTTTTCATTTCTGTCGACCAAGTCATCTCTTGGCCTCCCCTCGTCTTCTTGAACCGCAATCCCTGCGCGCGGACAACACACGTCGCGGCAGTCGATGTGCTTGCATGCGCAGCACATGGCCCAACCATCCGAGCCTGGTACGTGATAGAATGGTGTTGAGCGGTTCACCAGCTCCTCCTGCACCAAATATGCGACGCCGAACACACGTATTGCTCACGCGGCGCTCCCATCAGCTAAGCTGCGAAAGCAGCGATCATCGAATGTGACGAGCCTCCTTATGTCTGTCGACCTGCTGGGCCAGGTTTCACAACCGTATAACAGAGTTGAACGAACGGCTACATTATAAACTCTGCTCTCCAGGGCGAAAGTGATGTCGCGTCTGCGGCACAAGTGGCGGAGATTGGTAAAAACACCTTAATCTCTTACTATAGCGTTTGTAATCTCAGCTTCGATCCCACGGGTGTCAGTATAGTTGCCCAGATAATTGAATTCCTGAAGGACTTCTAGTTGATCACCACCAAGGGTCAGCGAAGGGGTGGGACCTTGCCAAGCTTGGGGAAGAAGTTTGCATTTTGATGGAGCAAAGCATAGCCCAAAACGATAGACAGCCAGTGCTAATCGGTCCAGTGCATGCTGGCACGTACAAGCGCTGTCACACATGGAAAAAATGTCGTCCGCATACTCCAAGTCAAGATGTCGCTTAACAGGATGCAGCTCCAGATCATCCAGGTTGTGTCCAGCGAACACTGTCTTCATGACTCCATTAATGGCGAAGTTAAAGAAGAAAGGTGACAGCTGGCGACCTTGTCTCACACTGTTGGAGATACTGAAGGGTAACGACAATTTGCCATAAACCCTCACTTTGCTCGAACTAAGCGCCTACAGCGCTTTGACAATGTCTACATATTTATCAGACACATCTTTCTAGGCAGACAGTCCTAAAGGACACATTGATCCACCGAATCGAAGCTAACTGTGATGTCGAGAAACACGACAACGGTGTGTGGCCAATAAACATGTTGGTGTTCCAACAATTGACGCAAAGTGAAGATATACTCGATGCAGCGTAGATTTCGAGGAAACGCGGTTCGCTATTTGCGGATCTAACCTTCATGAGCGCCAGTAAACCCGTAGAGGATGACAGTGGCAAGCAATTTAGAGGCAATGGAAAGCAGACTGATCCCTCTATGGTTGCCGCATTCCGAACAAGAGCTGCCCTTAAAAATTGAGACTATGACGGAGCGACTCCAGTCTGTCGGCATAGTCACCTACTTCCGAAGTTCCATTAGTAACTCTTGTAAATCATCTATTGGAGCAGATCCCCGAATGTGAAGAGGGCTGGGAGAATTTTATCTGACCCTGCGGCTTTACGCATTCTTAACAGCCTGATCTCACGTTCGACTTCTGCGAGTGAGGTCGGATCCAAGGAGACAGCCCAGGGAGAAGCGCGCGCCGTGCCCGACGAAGAAAGCGGTAACTCAGTTTGGTTGAATTGCTTTGCAAACGTTGTAACCAAACACTCCAAGCATTTTGACAGGGTGTGGAACGGCTGTCCACTCTCGTCGCGTGTGGTTTCTCCTGTGCCTATCTCCTGTATCAGACGGACTAACTTACGATGATTACTAACGGCAGCGGCTGTTTCCATCTCCGAGGCACAAGGAGACCACCAGGCATCGCGATCTTTCTTCAGGCCAGCACGTAGTTTTGCGTTGAGCTTTTTGCGAGTCTCATTGTATTGGTTCCGAGCCGGAATACATCGACGAGCATCCATAAGTTACAGAGACTTTGTAGAGACCCAAACCCTAGGATGGTAATTTGAATTACCACATAATGGCATGCTTGCTGATGGTAACGTTTAGCAAATATGCGGCCACTGATCTTCGACGGTGTTCAGTGGACCCTTACTCAGCGCAGATTCCATCGTAAGTTGATAAGCAGTCAGAACACCTAACTTCGCCAGCTGGCTGGTGTCAAATTTACTGGCAGGGAACTTGCTCACGAGTATCTCGATTGAAATTTTACCAAAGCAACACTTACTTGGATTGCCAAATCACCCATAATTGGTCCGGGGGCAGTGATTCGGTAAAGAAAGGGAATTTTATTTTTGAGCACGTAGTGAAGTCCGAATTCCGTTGAGAAGAATACTCTGCGTACGACTGATGGATCGTTGGCCAGCATCCTTCTAGGGTAGAGAAGTCTCATTTCATGAATGTCAAGTAGCCCTTAATAAGAAAAAAACCATAGAGTTTGTATCAAATGCAGCTTGGTAATCTACATGTACTACAAACCGTGTGGTAAAGAAGCACATATACCCCATCCTTCTGTATCACAAGCAGAACAGTCATTTTCATTAAGGATTTGAGTAAAAAGCGATGGACGCTTCAGCCAGATTTTTAGATGTTTGATGGCGTTTTTAAACTGCATTTAGCGCAGCAATCATCTTACGATGCATTAAGCTAAATGGAAAATTACTTGCACTTTTGATAAACATGCGGTCACTAGCGGCAGTTTTCGGCCAACTTGTTAGGTATGCAATTCATACCACGATTAGACCTTTATGCCAGTCCGGTAATCCGTCTGCTTGGTTCTAAAACTCAGTGTAGTAGCTGCGTGTGTAGTCAGTAAGTAATCCACTAATATTTTAACTACCTGAATTAGTAAACTATTAGGACTCTGGTGGGGCAACTGTTTCGATTACCATCTTCCTTTTCTTTGCAAACCGGATTGGCTGCGATTTAGGTGAGCTTCGGCTCCAGCTCGTTACATTGCTTACATAATGTATACACGTAGTCCAGACAGCGATCAAAGTATACTATCCATAAGCTAGGTGATAACCAAAAGTTGCTTTGTTACGAACTTTGATCAGCTCTGTTAGCTGGCTGTAGTGTGAAAACAAGAGGACCTCGGTGAAACAGCCATCAAGCTGTTTTCAGTGTCGCACGCTGCAGTCAGCACTTATCCCACAGCGAACTCAAAATCAGATGACATTTTAACGCACAATCGGACTAAGAGACAAAAGCAGACCACAAAATTAATGCCGACATCTGTGTTCTCGATCGAAGCAAACACTTATTTGCGTGAACCCGAGCCTAGAATAAGTGACGGACCAACATCACCCAGTATAGCGATCACTGTGTCCATTTCCTGCAAAGCCTTGCATCATACAAAATTCAGCAAGCCAAGTGTGGCCCGCTGGGTACGCCGTGGACAGACAATTGCACTGCATGCGCAAGTTAACGCAATATGCCCAAAATTTTACGCAATACTTTTCTTTGGCATTTCAAGTTGGTAAGAAGGAACAATTTTAAGAGAATTATCTGAACTCAGCTTTTTGGCATTCATATTAGCTGTTTACCTACAGTCTTTGCTGTATTCGGGTTGCAAATAAGAGGAATCAACGTTCAATGTCATTCAATTTAAATCTGAAAAACCGGAAATTGCGTTGTGTTAGGCGAGAACGGTCTTAAAGTTAGGCCGCTTGTACACACCGGCTTCAGCTGCCGAACCAATAAAGGTCCAAAAACGGAAGCTGGCGTGTATTACACTGTAGGTTAATTCACCTAAACGAATCACGGGGATTTTTGCATGTAGAACAGGGTACGCTGAGCAGTTGAGCTAGCCGGCAACTTGGGAATACTCGCAAACATGTTAAGTTTAGTGTGTATTGAAATTTTTATTGACGGCCTTCTCTCAGTTCGACGTTCTTGTTACCACAAGTACGATGAAAAAGGTAAACACATAAGGCACTGATTGAGAGTTTGGTTTGTTAAGTCTGGATTTACATGGCGAAATAACAACTTCTGCCGCGTAATAAGATTTAATTATTATAGGGCGCAGACGGTGCTTAAATCTTCTAACACTTTGGCACCATGTAAATGGTAGCGTAACAAGCACATTTCTCTTGGGGACAACTGTCAGTCGTTTTGCGTATTGTGCCAAAACTAATTCGGGGTATCCGTGTTCACGTAGTCTCAATTACACATGTCTCAGCAAGGTCAATGGAATCTTTGGAGCAAATCGTGCTATATCTCGCGAGAGCTGGGCGAACCAAATTTCGTTCGTAGAGAAGGTTGCTAAATTTCTCCTTTTCTGCTGTCCGATCGAGTGGGCGTGCCGTCTGAAATGGAACGGCATGTTGTGTATAACTCTTTCACTTTACTTGTGGTCGAAACTAAGTTGGTCAGACTGTGCTAAGACTCTCGACATTGGCGTCAGAACAAAAGGCGCATAACATGGTTGCTACTAGCCCCAAGTTGACTGTTACGCCAATCGCACATCCTAGACCGCTCCACATGACAAAACTAATGCAACGCGCTCAGGATAATTTACCGACTGCGTAATGCTCGTCTGACTAAGTTTGCCGAAGCTTCAGCAATTCGACGACTGCAACGCCGATTGCGCAGACAGACGAATTTCATGCCCGGTCCACTTTGCCTTGATGAGGGTTTAATTGTTATATATCATTGTACATCATGCTATGGCGGGATCCGCTACCATTCTTCCCACCCAGCACATGATCGTTGAATTTCAGTGTGTGACCAAACTAGAGATCGTCCCCGTTAACACACCTTATCCACGACCACACCCACTTCGTGTAAGTCACAATGTCGCGTGCTTAGTTCATTCCCGGGCTTTTAATTATCATCGATTCGTGGCAACAGTTTTCGTTACACGATTAGATGTGCATTTTCATTTGGCCGGACTGCATGAGGACTTCTAGTCATCCATCGTCATCCATCGATAATCCACACTTGCTGTGTTCAGATACTCAGTTCAAATTTTTCACCTTCAAGACTAACATCACCATTTTCATACCAAAAGGAAGGCTAATCTGAGAGCTTTCCAAATTTCTCTCATTCAATTCATTCCGCTGCATTACAAGTCAATTTCTGAAATAAACCGCTTCTAACCATAAGGCCACTGCTCAAAGCCATCTGAGTGCGGTCTTGCTTCAGTCGGATCTCTCTACCGCTCTCCACACACCTGTCCCAGCTAGCAGACGCTAGCAGCTAGCATCCACTTCGGATTAAAACGATACACCTTCCGTCCCGCCTAACGGTTGTCCGTGCGTTGATTCACACGCTCGTACATACCACTGTCCGCACAAGTTGACGTGACCTCAGGCGGAACTGCCATCAAGGAGAATCATCGGCAAGTGCCATTGTTTGGATTTAACTGAACTGACAACAGCCGGAACCAACATCTGCTGAAACTATAAAGCAAAACTAAAAACTGGTTGGTTTATATTGCATTTGTTTATTTCTGCAGTGACAGCGTTTCCGTAGCTCAAATATCCAAGGCATTAATTAAGTCGATTTTGCATCAACCTATCTACTTAATTTAGCTTTCGCGTCAGCACATTTTACTTTATCATGGCATCTACAAGGCCCAGCCCTTACAAGCAAAAAGTAATATTGCTTACACTGCCCGAACGAAGCTAACGAAAACTGCGACCCCGACTAAACTGCGAGCCAGTCCCGATCTCATTGCTACTCTTCTTTCAGAACTAAGTGATAAGGTCAACTCCCCGGAATTCCAGCTCTCCGAAATGAGAAAAATAACCATCATAGGACCACTGAAAGATCAGCTGATTTCATTAGACTATGACTGTAACCCGTGAGAAATCCTTGGTCCAGCCCAAATGGGAAATGCAGAACGACTGTTTGCCTCAATTTCGTCTGAGGTACATGAAGCAGTGCATAGACTAAAAACATGATCGTTTTTAACCTTCCTGATAGACTTAGTTAAGGTAAAGTTAAAATTGCAGTACTTAGGGTCTAAAAAGTGTTCGGAGTAAAATGCAAATGCCTTCGTCTGAGGAAGAAAGTACTGAAACACTGCTACCCGATCGTTTTTAAAATTTCAACCGCGGAATTCACGAACCGAGTTCAAAGATATAATGATTAAACCGGATCGCACGTATTTACATAGGTCCCTTAATAATCTTAGTTCACAATAATCAGCTCAAAGATTAGAGCTCAAAAAGATATCTGATGTGGTAACTTGGCACTTAGAAGTGGATCTCCAAAATTCACCTCATATGATAAGGACATCGATCGCCACCGTTCCTGACGCCATTGCAATGTCACCTAAACAAACTCCTACCATCAGCTACCCTACTAATGTAGACGCCTGTGGGTCAACCGAATTGAATTTAAGTCAATTCAAGTCAAGTCAGTATAAACTTTGTGTACTCAAATGAGTGCATTCTCACCCTTTTACATTATGAACTGCAAATTCACCAGAGTTGCCATTCAAAATGCCAAGTTTGCAAATGGGTAGACAATGAGAAGGGTGCACTGTCACAGATCGCTAGAGCAGCGAGCTCAAAAAGCTGGAGTAAAAATTCGGGATTTGTATCCATACAAAACAGCAAAGCTCACATTAAAACGTTTCTTCAAAAATTGTTTCAATGGACGCCAATTTTCTGTCCAAATACAATAGACTGGGGCTAGTGCGCGATAGCTCGCTTTTAGATTAAAAGGTGGGTGGGGCAGAGCGTCTCAGTGACATTGAAAGCTGGTTAAACAAAATATCCGTCAGCTTTGTCTTACAAAACTAAGATATATACAGTAATTAATGAAAAATATAATGTTCAACGAAAATGTCAACGGTCGATTTAAAGGCCTGCCAAGACGGATTAACTTCTAAACATTGGGACGACTGATTTTCAAGGGCCCTATAATAGTGTCGCAAGCTGAACTCAACGCCCAAATGACCTCCATGGGCAGTCTATCCAATATTGTAGAAAACCCACAGCCACCTATCAGTCTCAACAAGCGGTATAAATCTATGATGTACATGGTAGAAACTGATAATATCTGTCAACGTACCTCGCAAAAACGCTATTTAAAGAAACATCCTAAGCCCACGAAGCCCAGAAACAAATGTCCTTTGGATACACCTCACCATACAGCACTCCCATACCACAAAATCGGGCACAGTAATGATGACAGAATAACGTATGTCACAAAGTCAAGGCCACGTCCCATCGCGTCTCATATGTGTGCAGCACTTCCCAACACCCCACGTTATGACCCTTTTTAGTACAGAAGGGAATGGAGCCACGGCCATTCCCACTGCGTACATAACCAGCAGAAGCCAACTACCTGTTCCCAGTGTTTCTGCAATTTATGCAGATGATTCGGCTAACATACTGCCATGCCAGTCACAAAATAGTCTTGCTATTTCAATCCCCCCATGTCCACAACAATATCGACAA